ACTCAGTTAACGATTCGTCTATTTTGAATACTGGTGCAGACCAGCCTCGATCTCGTAAACCAATATGGCCGAGGAGTCTCACCGAGTCTTTATCATTGTTGACATGCCATGWCTTTAGTACGTCAGCCATGCTTACTTTTGGTAGTTCTCCTTCCGTATCCGCCTCCTCGGAAGCCTGGTCGATTATTGAAGTTGCAAAAGGTGTTAAGCTTTCAAACGCATGAGAATTTCGCCTTGGACTCTGAGCAAGTGAACGAGCGAACGCCTGGAACTTTCGCTCAACTTCCGGAGACATTTCAGGGGAGATGTTAGGAGAMATTGAAGCACGTCGCCGGGACAGGATAGGTGACACACACGGACTGCTTGCTGCTCGTCTTCTAAACCGAGGACTGTCGTTTACTGTTAATTCGCTTCCTGGTTTCTCTGCGTGATTACCAGGTTGGAGTGGATTGGCAGACTTAGGTCTACTCATTATTGGCGATCGCATTGCGGGACGAGTGGGTTTTGGTGAACCAGGAGGTTTAGGTAGAGTTGGAGAYACAGGACTAGCTGGTGGATGGCGCCTTGAAGTCCCCGGTGATSCATCAGGTGTCCTGGGACTAGTAGGTGGATGAGGTTTACTTCCTGGTATGGTGTTTGAAGGCATATGCCGTCTCTGACTACGCGGAGAGAGTGGTGCATGTGGCTGAAATGTTTTGTCCTCTCTCCCCAGGCCTGCCGAGGACTGTGCTGGATTTGTGTGCCGTGATTCATGACTGTCAGGGTCTAAACTAGGCAAGCTTGTTGATGACTTYGACCTTCTCTGCAAYAGAGGACTGAGCCAAACTTCTTTATTGTGTCCAGGCATTTTATTTGGAGTACTTTCTGCASATTTGGCATTGTTATTTACATCAATTCTAAGGTCAATTATTTCTTTYTCTGAYTGAGATTTASCCAAGCGAGGACGAACGCGTCTTGTCGATGTTTCGTGTGAGTCTTTGGACATTGATTGACTTCTGAACTTCTCCAAAGCAGCGGGAGAMGAGTCYCTTCTCCCTTGGAAAGCTGATTTGTTTGATATTAAAGGATTACTTTTCTTGGTGTAATCTCTGCTAAGTCTTTGCTCATTGGAAGATACCTTACCCATATTTATTGTGTTGTGCGATTCGTCTGAAGATGATCGATTTGACACCTTTGAATTACCACTTCGTGAATTAACAGTTACTTCAGTTGAAGGACCATCACTTATCACGATAGGATCGGGGTCTGAATCCTCTGCCCCAACATCCAGTTTGTTTTCAATTGCTTCAGTGATTTCTATGACTGGCGTAACCTTCGGTAGCTGCTTCTCATTGCAAGCTACCTTTTTAGTGAAAACCTCCTCTGATTCTCCTCCTCTGATTCTCCTCCTCTGATTCTCTCGGCTAAAACTGCCGAAAATTGTGGGGAAATTGGCCTGACTGGCACACACGGTACTTCTAAACCATCATCATAAAAGTCTATCAAGCCCGCCATGTCGAGATCTTTGTCTTTTACATGACTGAGCTCATTAAAAAGGCCTAAGAGTGCTGACAAAAGCAAGCAGTAATCTACTGTATTAGTTATTTAGAAAAAAATCCACTCAAGCATGAAAATATTTGTTATAAACAATCCTATAAAAGCTATTAATGACAATAGGCAAGCTTTTTTTCCTCCAATGACTGACATTAGTTGGCCATTTTTTTTTTACAAAAAAATACGAATTCAAAACGACAAAAGCAACCTCATTTATTATTCACGAGTTTTTTAATGTCAAGTCAATTCTAACAGTTTAATGGCTTAACCAATTTAAAACGTCCCTTGCTAAAGACAGGTGTAACTTGCTTAGTGTAGATATTGTCTGTGAAATGCCAGTGAAAGATCACTTAAAACTCTCACGAGCCTTATCTGTTAGMGACATAAAAATGATTAATCAAAACATACACCACGGTGACAGACTCTGCACAAAAGGTTAGTGTGTCTTCATTTGAAATCTGCTGTGTTTAAAGTCAAAACTATACTTGTGAATATTATCCACCTTTTCGAGGCAACTATTATTTTAAGACTTGTTTATATCATGACGTCATGTCATCTTTTGATAAAACTCGTATGACGTCCATATGTCTTTAAATCACTCGTTGTTGAGTGATTTGATGGCAACGGCTATCTTTATAATTTCAAGTGATGTTTAAAACTAATACTAAAAACTAATACACTTCAGCATTAACATTTAAGATCAGGCGAGAAAAAATAGAGCAAAARTYAAACATGTTCATTAATTGAYAACCAAAACGAAAACGAAAGTAGGAATCAAGTTGTCATTCTTCATCATTTCAAAAGAAGAAAAAGCTGTCATATAATTTATATTAAAATGTCTTATTAAAAAAACACTACGCGAAGAAAAGCCGAATGGGTTAAAGAAAAGAAACATTTTGCAATCAATTAAGACAGCTTTTAGACAGTCCATTCATAAATCATATCGGATTACCAACATAWAAAATATTGGACGCAAACATCGAGATGCACGTTTAGGCTACGTGATTAATGTTGTCTTGTGTTTGCCGTTAGATACAAGAACGTCTTGTAATTGATTAATACACACACAAGCTTGTTATACACAAATTCCACTTCGACTTTATGAATGCTAGACACCTGTTCTCGTAGGGGTAAAACAGAAGTAAATATTGTTGGATTGGTGTGAATTATACGACGGAGATAGCGAGCTAAAGTAATCATAATTCCAGATAAGATGTTTTTTTAATGTGCCTTTATATTAAAGCTATTCTTCGAGGGGTTTGTAGTCATGAGAGTCATTATCGCCGGAAAGTACGAATGACGACCAACTCAACTCATCTCTAATAACCAGTTGTCATGACAATCGCCTGACGACAAACTGAAATAAATTCACGTTTTTTTATTAACGTGTAGTGAATAATATGAATGTGCATATCGATTGTCATAACATTATCAGTGGAAAAACACTCGGTTCGATTAATTTGTGTTGATTGTGTACACTAAATACGTCAGGTGGATTAGAAGTGGAATTATATCCACAAAATGGTTGAAAAATTTCACATGAAATTTCAAATGGATCCGGATTTGCCGTCCGTTGCAGTCATGCAAAGCTCAACGCATTTTCGAGAGGTTATGAATGAAATGCTACATAGAAATGATAACAGCGATACTATGGAAAGCCGAATCTCAAGTCCTCGTCTGCCACCAATTCATTTGACAGACGAAGAATCTGAAATGAAAGACATTGAGAATGAGAATTCCTCAAAAAACATTGGAAAATTCGCTGCGAAGCAAGTCTCAAAAAGTGACAAAAACATTTTAGCTTCAAAACTGGAGAAGAAAGAATCAATGGACAGAGAATTTCTACAAGTACCAGAGATGTTTAGCGAGGAGATAGATTCAAAAATCTCAAGCCCTCAAGCTGCGAAAAAAATGGAATCAGAGTCAAACGTGAAAGAATAACAGAAAAGGCTAAAACGATATTGCATTTGTGGCCAGCTGGATAAAGCCATTTTGATCTCGGTCTCACGTTGCGAAAGCAAACAAAACTTGAAATTGACTATCGAAAACGACCTTGAAAAGTTAAAATTTCTATTTAGGTCATTTTGRYCAGAGATCTTGATCTCTGTTCGCAAGTAACAAGAACGAAAGAGTTTTTTCACTRGATATTGTATACTTATTATTATAATTTGGTTATAATCTGCGGAATTGTTCACGCATTTGAGTATATTTGATTCATATTTAGTCAATAACTATATATTTCATTTTCAAAAAAGTAAAAAGTTAAAAGCAAATTSAAAAATCAGGATAGAATTTTCTTGCTTGAATTACTGACGCATATATCTACCCATATTGTAAGTACTTCCCAGCTTAGTAATTCAAGGAAACGCTAATGAACAGGAACTAAGTTTTAAAATACAGTAGACGTTATTTCTCATTTGCATTAATGATAGAAAGGAAACAATTTAATCAYGTTTTCCTYGACGCCCATTTGCCTAAGATGTAATTTAACGCATAACGAGTMTCAGATGCTCCTCAAAGATGTTCTCAATTTGCAGCAGGCTATTTAAATTTATGCTAAATTCAATAAATCTTTCTTTTTTAAATAAAACTTGAATGTTATTTTTGTTAATTTGAGTATAGTTGATATGTGTTTACTAAAACAACAGAAAGCCTGTATGGGGTAAAGCGACCACTAAGTAGTGTTTTGAAAGCGGTCGTATTAATGAGGGTAGGTCCATTACTAAGTAATGTATCGGGTAGAGCGACCACTCAGTAGTGTTTCGAAAGAGGTCGTTTTAATAAGGGTAGGTCCATTACTAAGGAATGTATCGGGTAAATTGACCACTCAGTAGTGTTTTGAAAGCGATCGTATTAATGAGGTCGTATGACGAGCCTTAAAGATGGATTCCTGTGACAAAGCCAAAATCGTTCATTGCATGAAGCGGTAATTGCTAAAAATATTTAATAATCACAAATATAATTCCGCTTTCTATATAGATATATAAATAAAATATGCACATGTAACGCGTGACATAATTTCGTGACACAACATAATTACTGACATCACTTAGCAACATGCTGWWGGTCTAAAATTTCACGGTTCCTGGTGGCAGGCTGCTGTTGCACAGTCGATAATAACGAAGATCTCCAACAAAACGGTGTACATTCTGGGTAAATGATGGTAGATCCTGAGAATAAGAAGAAGAGATTACATGATAAAAACACAAAATACATTAATCAACAGATTAACCAATAGTAGAGATAACATGTCAATTTTTAGCATTGTTGTAGCGGCTTAATTTGAAAGATGGAAACATTTTGAGCATCATTAACCATAGCAACAAAACTGAGCATCACCATGACAACCTCATCAACACCAATCTGGAACAATAGCTCTGATCAACACCTTAGACAACAGCATAACATCTTTACTGAGACTTTACAGGGAATAACCCGGACAACTTCATTAACCACTACAACGACAACAACCTGAACAACATCATAACTGACAACCTAATCAACACCTCAAACAGTATAATATCAATATCTTAACATCTATGCTGAAACTTTACAGGGAACAACCCGGACAACTTTATTAACCACTACAACGACAACAACCTGAACAACAACATAACTGACAGCACCTATATCATTAACAACTCCATGAAAAAGACGCTAAATGTGTGCTGTTATATATAGAGGACAACGGGATACCACATACCTTATCCTGAAGTTTAAAATTATTCACGAGCTCTGATTTCTGGTTTTCTGTTAGATTCTCGCAGCCATTAAGAAACTCTGCCAAGAACGTTGAGAAGAACTTATCGAAATCAACAGACGCCATGTTGTATATAGTGATAGTGATCTCTTCTTGTAGAAGATCATGGGAACGATATACTAACGCTTGAAATAACACGTTAACGAAATGCAACAACATATGGTCTCGAAATATTCCCTAAAAGAAACAAGAACAAGTTACAATGYGGTTGGTTTGCTCCTTGSCGGGATCCCTGTGGTAGTTTCAAACCGACAAACTGRGGAGAGYCGGAAAACTACGACTGCGTAATCAGTCCAATGGTAAATATAACGAGAAAATACAATGGTAGAATGCTCACCTTTTGGTAAAGTTTACATTTTGAATTAAGATTTTCCAGGATTTCTATATTTTGTTTGAAGATAGCAATGTCTGGCTCAAGGAACGACTGTCCGAAGGCCTATAGAACAGGAATCAAAATAGTTATTTGACTACTTGACATTCAGAGCGACAAACATAAATAGCTGTGGGTGCTGTGACACAATTTTGTACTAAGCACCTAAAAGAATGACATAAACCGATTTTTCTCCCCCCCCCCCCTTCAGAAAGGGCAAAATTACTTCATCTTTGCAAAGAAAACAAGCAAAAGTGCAGAATCTATACGGACTGCGCATGCGCGAGATTTATATTAACTGTCATGCTTTGCGCAAGGAAATGACGTCATGTACATTGCCTAAAAGTGTACACACCAAAGACAACCAGTTTACGTACACTTCTAATCATACCTGAAGCATCGAGATGAACTGCGGCCGGTTTTCAACATGCTCCTCGCCAGACATTTGGGCAAGTAATGACGAACGAAAGAAATACCGCCAGTTATGCAGTAATAATTGATGTAAGAGTTCATAGAACTCTGTCTTGATATCTGGAGAAGGGGTCTGAAGAAAACACAAAACAGTTAAACCACGAAACGATGATTAAATGATAATGATGATGATGACTGACCTACAAATACGGTCGCCATTTTGAATTATGTCGGAATTATGGAATGTCCGAGGGAACGTATACAGTTGCATGGACAAATTAATTTTACTGACATTTTTATGCTCTTTGAAATTTTGATTATTAGCAGTTATTATTATACAATCCTGGCAACTGTAAGTCGTCAACTGACATGACATTGCGATTGAGAAGTTTCGCGTCCATTTTTGCGCATGAGAACGTTCAAACGGAAACAACTAAAGACCATATTACTTACATCTGCTAATATAGGATAAAGCTGTTCCATGCACAGCGATATGATACCAGGTAAAAATGTTTTAAACGAGGCCGCGGGGGCCTGAATTAAAAGCTGTAATATCTTAAGAAACTTTTCCACAGCTTTCGACCCTGTGCTACTTTCATGTACGAGGGTTTCTTTGAGCAACTCTTGATTAAACACCGCCATGAGTCGAAGTACAATTTCNGTCATGCTTTGCGCAAGGAAATGACGTCATGTACATTGCCTAAAAGTGTACACACCAAAGACAACCAGTTTACGTACACTTCTAATCATACCTGAAGCATCGAGATGAACTGCGGCCGGTTTTCAACATGCTCCTCGCCAGACATTTGGGCAAGTAATGACGAACGAAAGAAATACCGCCAGTTATGCAGTAATAATTGATGTAAGAGTTCATAGAACTCTGTCTTGATATCTGGAGAAGGGGTCTGAAGAAAACACAAAACAGTTAAACCACAAAACGATGATTAAATGATGATGATGATGATGACTGACCTACAAATACGGTCGCCATTTTGAATTATGTCGGAATTATGGAATGTCCGAGGGAACGTATACAGTTGCATGGACAAATTAATTTTACTGACATTTTTATGCTCTTTGAAATTTTGATTATTAGCAGTTATTATTATACAATCCTGGCAACTGTAAGTCGTCAACTGACATGACATTGCGATTGAGAAGTTTCGCGTCCATTTTTGCGCATGAGAACGTTCAAACGGAAACAACTAAAGACCATATTACTTACATCTGCTAATATAGGATAAAGCTGTTCCATGCACAGCGATATGATACCAGGTAAAAATGTTTTAAACGAGGCCGCGGGGGCCTGAATTAAAAGCTGTAATATCTTAAGAAACTTTTCCACAGCTTTCGACCCYGTGCTACTTTCATGTACGAGGGTTTCTTTGAGCAACTCTTGATTAAACACCGCCATGAGTCGAAGTACAATTTCCTCCGTCAAGCTTGACCCAACTTGTATCTTAAGGCTTTCAAATAGGCCCAGGAAAAACCCCAATATGGCATCAACAACATCTGTACAAAAATATAAAGCAACTTAGACATTGAAAGGAGCAAAGATCKATCTACACTTGAAAAAATCGCGCTCCTTGAAGGTTGTCAATTTAATGGAAATATGATGTAAATTCAATAATTGCTTGTAAATATCCGGTACGTAAGTGTCCGAAATCATGGAAATATCGTATAAATTTGGATTTCAATTTTCAAAATATTTCCATTGAATTTACATCGTTTGTAAAGTGTGTAAATGTGATGTAAATATTATGTAAGTGTCCAAATCATGTAACTTTTATTTACATTATTTACATCATTTTTACTTCAAATTTACAGTGCGATTTTTTCCAGTGCTACCGTCATGCATTGCTCGACAAAATGACGTCACATCACATTTGCCTGTTCACTCGATTGATGCTTTATTACCTGGCTGATGCGTRTACACACTCAAGATAGTCAGAGTCAAATGTATCATGTCTTGTATCGACTGGTACAGTATGACTTTAGTTTTTGTGACTTGTTCATCAGTTACTGAAACGACGATGTCCTGTAGTACGTGGAGTGTGAATTGTAAAGTATTTTTAGCTTTCTCTTGTAGCTGCTTGYTGTCAGCAAAGCCTGATGCCTCTAAAAGCTCCCTGCAGTGATGTGTCAAGCCTTTGATTAGATTCTTGTGATTCTGAGATCTCATGTCCCATTCCTGTTTGGAAGAAAAAAATGGTTAAATTTACCATATGTGGATGGGTGGGYGTTAGTCAATCGTCCATGTGGGATACAGACTGAACTAAGATGTCAGAGYATGCGTAATAGCGTAAAAGCCTCGTGACTTATCCATTGCATGTATGGTAAAGTTATCAGAGCAACTGACCTGTTCGTTATCTGACATTAGTGGCCAAGGAAGTACCAAYGCATTGGACAGTGAACGAAACACCARGGTCTGAATCTACAAAACCACAAAAATTAATACAACAAAAACTAAACCATGAAACGAAGATGTTTGACTAAGAGCCGATAATGCAT